AAAATTAACCCGGCTGGGTTATGAAAACTAAAATTTTTTTTTTTTTTAATGTTTTGAAGCCTATTATACCTGATTTGTTCTTTGTTTTCACATTTGAAGCTATATCTTCAATATGATTCAAAACAATATTGAAAAGAAGGATAATCCAAAAGGCCGTACTGTATGAGCTCGATGACATTTTAACCGTAAGGTCTTTAAAAGGTTCAAGGAGTTCAGCGATTTTTTCCAGAGCAGTCCACTGACTATATGAAATGGCATACGGGTGAAAATCATCTTGAGAACTAGTAAGCGTATTAAGTGTCTAAAAATTATAGTTAGTATTTGCATTAATATGATATGAAATTAGGAATTAGTGTCCCTAATAGGTTTGATCTGAATGATCTGAAACTGATCTAGTTATAATAAATTTAGTATATGGGTCATGACCCATATAATAAATTTATTATAACTAGATCAGTTTCGGGTCGTTCAGATCAAATCCATTAGAAGCACTATCAGGAATAGATAACTTACCAACTTAAGAAATAATCTATTCTTGATCATATCATGGGTTGAGTTCCAACAGGTAGAGCAGTTCAAGATAGATTTAATAAATTTTATATGGCATGCATTACAGGTGTTTTCAAGAAGTTCAATACATTGAGGTGATGTGCGAATAGCAGAGTTAAGTTCTCTGATCTTTTGATTTATTTATTTATTTGTTTGTTTGTTATAACAATAAGATAATAATCTACTTTCATAAATCTATAATGATACCTTACTAATATCTTCTTTTATATAATCTAGTGCTACCTGTACTGCTAAATTTAGAATATGATTGAAATACTGAAATCGAATGCATTCTGGATCCCAATTAATGTTTGGTTTTTTTTTTAATTTCATTGCCAATTTCTGCACAAAAACATTATTATTGCTAGTATTGTCCAGGATAATAGTGAGAAACTAATAAAAAGGTCAGACCATCTTGAAAAATAGTAATTATCACAAGTAAAATGATATTCAATTAGAAGTCAAATAGGGTTGCCTAATTACTGCAAAATTTAACCCTATTGGTATTCTATTGCCTATGGATTTTGGCACAAAAGGAGGTTAATAGGTTATCTGATTATAAAATATTTAATAAATAGTAACCCTATTGATCTAATTTTGCACCAAAATCTGTAGGCAATAAAATACTAATAGGGTTAAATTTGGTAGCAATTAAATAATCTCTATTACATATCATTTATTTGTGTATCAAATATAAGAAAGATAAATTACTTTTGATACAATATTATAGTCTTCCAATACCTAATAGAACCTATTTGCAATGTTTACACCTTCATGTTTTCCGCTCAACAAGCCAAAATCAATAATAATTTCCTTAAGAGCCCAGTTCTCATCAATGTAATAGGCTGTGACAGAAATAAATAACTTATTGTTAGGGGATATCTATAGATCTGAAGTAAAGGATAATTTGAAACTAATAGTAGAAAGGTATGTCTAAATTATCTAACAAATAAATATATTATAATTTTTATCATAAACTTATAATTACATAACAATGTATAACTTTATTAGTTATGACTGGTAACTAGTACTCCGTAAAATCAAATCAAATTCAAAGTTTGATTTGATTTTGGGAGTATTATTAGTACTATTGGTAAATACAGAAAACCTATAAAATACTATTAAATGTTTTATCTAACAATTTTTGTGAAATTACCTTCAGTTCTTGTTTTTTTAAGCTATAAAGCATCATGACTATTTTCTTAATTGTATCAGCCCTAGCTAGTTGTATAGTAGGGTTTAAGTATTGTAAAATCTCAATTAATTCAGGGTCTTCTACTATAGAAAGTGGATATTGGCAGTTAATGATTCATATAGCAATCATTTTGCGAAGCTTTATATTATCAACTTCAGTTGATACTATTGTGAAGGTATTTGTAGAGGTCTATATAAAATTTTTAATTAGAGTACAGTCGACTCTCCTTATAACGAACTGGCGATTCTTATAAAAAATTTTTCAAAAGTTTTTATATACTGAACTTTATAATAAAATTTTTTAAAAAAAAAAGCAAAAAGAGGTAAATTGACAAACTTTTCAGAAACACATTTTATATAAATCAATTCAGAATAAGATTGGGATCATTTTTGCTCAAGATACAGACTCAGTTATATTAATAAAATTTTGCAGTATAGCTCTTTGAAATTTGTATTTTCTTATGATTTATTATAAAAAATTTTTTTTTGTCAATTTACCTTTTTTTGCAACACATAGCACAAATAGATAGATTTATTATAAAAAGGTTTGTCATGTCCAGATTTGACTGTAGTTTAAAATTTGAATAAAAAATAAAAGATTACCTTTTTAAATACTTCTTTAACACTGCCACATTTTTTGTACACTTTTTTTTTTTTTTACGATATTCTTCTGTAAAGACATACTGTGTCCAATGAGCAGATTCTAGGTGTCACCATAAAGGCCAGGTCATACCACCTTTTCCACAAGAATACTCATTATGGGTGCAATTTTGTATATCACATTTAGCCATTTTTCATTTTTTTGTCCACACAGCTTTTTTAAAATATTTCCATACTTCGCTCACTTCACTCCTGCAACTTTGTTTACTCAAGGTACTGCTACTGTCATTATCATTATAACTATTATCGTGGTCATGGTTGTCATTGTGGCTATTGTCGTAATGGTGGTCGTTGTTGTAGTCATTGTCGTGGTCATGGTCTGATATGGATGAGAAACTCATTGAACCAAAAAGTAATTTTGCCTATAAACTATGTATATCGATATAGAACAG